TTCTGTAGTTTCTAATGGAGAATACTGAGATACAGTCTATTAGACTAGACGGGATTGAGGTTCATAAAGAGGAGGTGTTAGCAATTCTGGAAGGTGTGAAAATAGATAAGTCCCCTGGGCCGGATGGGATTTATCCTAGGATTCTCTGGGAAGCTAGAGAGGAGATTGAAGAGCCTTTGGCTTTGATCTTTATGTCGTCATTGTCTTCAGGAATAGTGCCAGAAGACTGGAGACTAGCAAATGTTGTCCCCTTGTTCAAGAAGGGGAGTAGAGACAACCCTGGTAATTATAGACCAGTGAGCCTTACTTCGGTTGTGGGTAAAGTGTTGGAAAGGATTATAAGAGATAGGATTTATAATCATCTAGAAAGGAATAATTTGATTAGGGATAGTCAACACGGTTTTGTGAAGGGTAGGTCGTGCCTCACAAACCTTATTGAGTTCTTTGAGAAGGTGACCAAACAGGTGGATGAGGGTAAAGCGGTTGATGTGGTGTATATGGATTTCAGTAAAGCGTTTGATAAGGTTCCCCATGGTAGGCTATTGCAGAAAATACGGAGGCATGGGATTGAGGGTGATTTAGCGGTTTGGATCAGAAATTGGCTAGCTGTAAGAAGACAGAGGGTGGTGGTTGATGGGAAATGTTCATCCTGGAGTTCAGTTACTAGTGGTGTACCTCAAGGATTTGTTTTGGGGCCACTGCTGTTTGTCATTTTTATAAATGACCTGGATGAGGGCGTAGAAGGATGGGTTAGTAAATTTGCAGATGACACCAAAGTCGGTGGAGTTGTGGATAGTGCGGAAGGATGTTGCAGGTTACAGAGGGACATAGATAAGCTGCAGAGCTGGGCTGAGAGGTGGCAAATGGAGTTTAATGTGGAAAAGTGTGAGGTGATTCACTTTGGAAGGAGTAACAGGAATACAGAGTACTGGGTTAATGGTAAGATTCTTGGTAGTGTGGATGAGCAGAGAGATCTCGGTGTCCATGTGCATAGATCACTGAAATTTGCCACCCAGGTTGATAGCGTTGTTAAGAAGGCGTACGGTATGTTAGGTTTTATTGGTAGAGGGATTGAGTTTTGGAGCCATGAGGTCATGTTTCAGCTGTACAAAACTCTGTTGCAGCCGCACTTGGAGCATTGCGTATAGTTCTGGTCACCGCATTATAGGAAGGATGTGGAAGCATTGGAAAGGATGCAGAGGAGATTTACCAGGATGTTGCCTGGTATGGAGGGAGGGTCTTATGAGGAAAGGCTGAGGGTCTTGAGGCTGTTTTTGTTAGAGAGAAGAAGGTTAAGAGGTGACTTGATAGAGACATACAAGATGATCAGAGGATTAGATAGGGTGGACAGTGGGAGCCTTTTTCCTTGGATGGTGATGGCTAGCACGAGGGGACATAGCTTTAAATTGAGGGGTGATAGATATAGGACAGATGTCAGAGGTAGGTTCTTTACTCAGAGAGTAGTAAGGGCGTGGAATGCCCTGCCTGCAAAAATAGTAGACTCGCCAACTTTAAGGGCATTTAAATGGTCATTGGATAAACATATGGATGATAATGGAATAGTTTAGGTTAGATGGGCTTCAGATTGATTTCACAGGTCAGCGCAACATCGAGGGCCGAAGGGCCTGTACTGTGCTGTAATGTTTTATGGTCCTGGCAGAGCAGTTGCCATACTAGGCCATTATGCACCCGGACAGTATGCTTTCAATGGTGCCTCTGTAGAAGTTGGTGAGTGTCTGTATGGACATGGCAAATTGCCTCAGGGAGAAGAGGCCTTGTTGTGCCTTCTTGACCGTCGCATCCATTTGATAAGTCCAGGACAGGTTGACGGTTATCGTCACTCCAAGGAACTTGACGCTCTCCACCTCCTTAACCTCAGTTCCATTGATGTAGATGGGGGTGTGTTCTCCCCCTTTCTTTCTGAAGTCAATGATCAGTTCTTTAGTTTTGCCAATGTTGAGAGAGAGGTCGTTCTCATTGCACAACATCAACTAAGCCCTCTATTTAGAATACAGACGCAGTATTAGCATTCACAAAGGAATCTAAAGCGACTCTTCTCAAATTTCAGAGATTTTGGTATTAAGCTTTTGGCCTATGGTGTTCTTCGCACTCAAGGCCATCAGTTTGCCATATAGAGTCTCAATCTTTGGAGAAAATGTTATAACATACTGATATGCAGTAAGGTTGTACTGCATTCAATAAAAGGGAGAACTACATGTCAGACTTACCAGTATTTCTCTTCAATTGCAGATTTCAGCTTAATTAATATTAGAAGTTTTCTGGTAGATACAGTACATATTTTTAAAAGATATGAATTACATTCGGATGGAATTTTGCGAGGCTGTTATGTACAATTCAATTATCTAGGTGATGTCCTACACCACAGTAGTGAAGCTCAGTTGCTTTCTAGATGTCATCTGAACCAGGAGATTATATTACAGCAATAAGTCACTTCAGCTCAACTGTTATTATAGTAGTAATAGTATATTTGTACTAATTTTTAAGTGGTTATGGTGCTGTAACATCTGTGTGGCTATGGAATCTGTTGAAGTCTAGCAGTCTACGGCATGACAGTCTTTTGAAGAGGCAATTAAGTCTTGAAGTAGAATGGGGGAGTACAACAGAAGCCATGATGAAAGTCTTTTGACATATCAATATATAACAAGAAGGGCTAGTGCTAGGTTTCATGTAGCAAACTGATTAGAGGTCTGGGAAAAATATGTAGGCAGACTGTTTTACAGGAACCTAGGAAAAGATGTAATTAGACTAGACTGTTTAGCTACCAAGCTCACTTTTTCCACAGATCATGGACTCCAGGCCAACAGTTTAACCCTGGGTAGCCCCCATACTCTTTGATTCTGAAAGACATTCAAACAAATATCCAACCATATTCATTTATTTGTGTTTTTCCTGTATTCAACTGAATCCTGCTTCCTTCCATGTTAGATTCTTGTTTGATTCATTCATGAAATGTTGGCATTGCTGATGAGGGCTGTCGTCTATAAAGAAACCACACATTTCGTGGATCAGTTTGTGCTACTTTCAATAATGTCCAGTCCTGGACCCAGCTGAATATTTATCCACATGTATTTGAAGGTTGTATAACTACCCTTGCTGGGATCTGTTTCAGTAAATTTTTCCAATACGTGTTTTGATTGATGCTCATTTAAGCACTGTTCTTTGCTTACTTAAGTATCTCCTCTTCAATCAGCAATATAAATATATAAAGGTTAAGGTCTGAGATCATACTCCAACCCCTGCATCCCTCACATTGTCAGTCTTTTCTCTAACGTATCTAATTCTGAACTGTAAGCTTCTCTTCACAGCTTAGAGTCCTATGTCCCTCATCCTCGTGGTTTGAACTTGCTCCCATGAGCCAAAGCCCGTTTTGATGGTGTATTCGAAATGCATACATTAGGGAAAATTTAATCCTGCTTGTCCAACTGAACCTGGTGAACAAGCAGTTAAAATCACATGTGGAATTTACCTGCTGGTGGCTGGTTACCTTCCCACAGGTTCCAAATTGAGCTTACTGTTCTTAGCACACAGTGGAAAAAACAACAGTGGGAAGCAGCAAATATGTGGACCAGGTCCCATGGATGTCACTAAACTTCAATTGGTAGCTTAACCAAAGGCCTGCATGGAAAAGCCATTGTGGCCCTTCTACCAAGTCAACCAAGTAAATCTAAATTCCCCCAACAAATGTTGCTTTGGTTCTTGCTGATGCTCCTCCAACCGTCAGAAATAAAGTTTAGGTCTTCTTTAACTTGATTTGACCTCCTCCCAGCTCCCCCCATCATCAACCACTGAGTTTGGTGACTGCACTAAGTGCCTGTGACTATTCCTGCTTCTTAACATTCAACTCCACCTGCTGAGCTTCGAACAAAAACCTAATTATGTCTATGCAAATGAGGGCTAAAACCGCCTGAGCCCTCTTCCAGCACATACGTCTGCTGCCCTAAGTTAAAATTGGAACTATTATTCCAAATATGGCCTCGTCTGTGATGCATGCAATGTTAAAATAACTTAGAATCTAATCCTTTTGAGACGGAATCTGTTTTTGATTAGCTTTTTGGAAACTGCTTGATATCAACTGGAAACTTACAGTGAACAATAGTAATTGTACTTGCATCCTTTTCCTTTTCCACATGTGCTAATAACCATCATTTTAATCATGTTCATGTGTTTGTTATTTTACTGTTCCAAAATACATTGGTTTACATCTGTCCACATTAAAATCCAACTACTGCTTATTAGTCCATCTGGCCCAAACCTTTGTGAAAACTTTTTTTTTCACTCTTTACATTAATAACTTTTTTGAGAAGTACAAAACACCACTAAAGTTCAGAAATGAATGAAAGGATTAGATAAATCAGAACTTCTTGCCAGGATAATAGGTTTAGGTTTGAAAATTCTGCTGAATGTAAGAGGAAGGAAACCCTGAAGGAGACAGGGAGTTCTACAGCTTCGAGGTACTAGGAAGGAATGAATACAGGTCAGAGAAGGATACGGTTAGTCCTGTTTTCAAACACAGAGGATGCATAGAGAACGAAGTGTGTGAAGGACATACTGTAATGTATTCAGGGTTTAGTAGGAAAAGGACCTGAAACTCCAGGAATCATTAGCACAACGTTTTGTATTTAGCATTACCATCTGTTTCCTATTTCCAAACTAGTTTTTAATCCATTTGTTTCATTAATTTCATGATCCATAACTTTAAAATCTTACTTTTAATCTATTAATCTACTTCAGCTAGGTGGTTGCTTTGACAATTGTCTATCTAGTGGCTCACTGATAATTTCTTGTTCCCACTGTCAGAATACTTCTATAACATTATGTGATGAACTTTTATGAACTTTCATTAATTCCTAAGTAGTTTTGTGAAGGAAACATTTTAATAAGCACGGGGCGTTTTTATTGTTTTAATTGCATTTCATAATTTTCTTTAATTTCCCAGGTTCTTATCCTTCATCAGTGGAGACCTGTCTGACATTGGAAGGCCTGCTATGCAGTGCAATGTGAATGCAGCACTGAAAACCAGTTCAATGGATGCCTTAGCTGAAAAGTTTGAGACAACTGTACCAACACTGCAGACGATTATTGATGGACTGGTACAGCCTCACGACTATGACATTAGAGCAGGTAATGAGTTCTAACAACAGCAAATAATCATCTTGGGTAATTCAACAACATTACTGTAATTAAATGTATATTTTAGAACTGTCTGAATTTATATGATGTTCATAAAAATCCTTAGCTATTGTTATCAAGATCCCTTTTAACAATCTGTCTACTTGAATTTACTGGTGTTGATAGTAAACTAACAACCTAAATTCTATAACCAATCCCAAAATGAGTCATCCAGTTATAAATCTTGATTAGCCTAATGCTACAATTTAGTCCAGTACAAATATCCTATCATTTTTTATGCTTCGTGTAAAGAAATTACTAGAGTTTAGTGTTGTAGCATCACGCCAACTGAAAAGAACGAAGCAGTTATTATTTCTCAAAATGGCCAATAAAAATAGAGAAAATTAAATGATATTATAAATTTCCTCTTGGCGTGAGAGATGATGCCTGTTAATTCTGCCATAGCTAAGGTTCAAGTATGCAGATGATGACTTTTAACCAAACTAACATCGTTAGTTCCAAATTCTAAAATTTATAAATAAGAATCTCCTAATTTAACTTGTATCACAGTCAAATGGCAATGGCTTAGACCAACAATTAAGGAAAGCTGATGCTGGAATGCTAATTTGTTACTCTTTATTCATTTAGAAGTCTCTTCTTCTCAGGAGGCAGGATTTCTTGGATGGCTAGGCATCCCTCCCCATACCAGCCGTAGAAGCAATAGGTCATACGTTCCAACCTCAATATTTGATGGGACATTAATTATCATTGTTAGGACTGTAGTTGCGAGCTCTGTCTCTCTTACACACACACACACATGCACATAAAAGCAACACACTGACACACTCTCACTCACACATACATAAACACACGCGAGCACACAGACACACATTCCCCTGCTCCAAAGAGCCCAAAAGGGCCTTGGTAGTTATTTATTTAATTGACCATTTAAAGGCCTCAACCAGCCTTATGGTGAGAGCTCCACCACACTTCATAAGGCCAGCAGGAAGGCCTTCTGCTGCATTTTACAATGTCCCCACCTCCCAGCAAACTATGCCCGGAAAGAGAGAGAGTGAAAATTAATTTAATAGAATTTTACAGCACAGGAGGAAAGAGTGGCCAATCTGTCTTGCTCCTTATTCTCTCTGCATTTTCCTTTCTGTAAATAATTATTGAACCTGTTTCCTCCACTCATTCTGTCAATGCAATCCAGGTTATAATAACGCACTGAATTTTTTTAAAAATTGGTGGTTCCTCCACTGCCTGTCTCCCTATCAACTTGTAATCATTTTGAACACTTATTAAATCTGTTCAGAACAGCACAGTCCCCATTTCTGGTCTTTAAACCCCTAATCGCTGGGACAATTTGAATAAATCCCCCCTCCATCTTTTCCAAGGCTTCATGCCCTTCCTAATGTGTGGCATCAAGAACTGGGACACAGTACTCTTGCTGAGAGCTAACAGTGATTTATAAATGCATTGTAACTTTCATGATTTTCTACTCCAAGCCAGGTTTCATATCGCTATAGATCTCATATGCCTCTTCAACACATTTGTCAACTTCTTATGTCTCCTTCAAAGATATGTGTAGTAACACCCAAGGTCATCTGTTCCTGTTCCTCTTTTAGTGTTGTGCCATTTAGTTCATGGTAAATGCCTCTGCTGTTTTTCTTTCCAAAATCATTTCACAAAAGTCAATCCTCTTCATTGTCTGCTACATTTCAAATTTCATGTCATCGGTCCTGCCAAATTCAGGTCAGTAATATATATCAAAGGGGCAGTGGTCCTAATATAGTGGTCCCAGGGGACACCACTGTATAATTCCCTCCCATCTGAAAACAACCATTCATTATTATTCTCTACTTTTAGTCTCGCAGCCAATTTCATGCTGTCACTACCCCTTAATCCTCTAGATTTAGGTTTTTCTGACAAGTTTATTAAATCTCTTCGAGGAACTTTCCTAAACTGATAGTGAAGACTGCAAAATATTTGCCCTAAAGGGATTTGTCAGAGGAAGAACAGATAAACTGCTGTGTCAGCCTTATAATACAGAATATTTAGAGGAAGACGTTGACATAGAGTCATAGATCATGGAAACAGACTCTTTGATCCAACTAGTCTATGCTGAACATTATCCCAAACTAAACTAGTGCCACCTGCCTGCTCCTGGCCCATATCCTTCCAAACCTTTCCTATTCATGTGCCTGTCCAAATGTCTTTTAAATATTGTAACTGTACCCGCATCCGCTACTTCCTCAGGAAGTTCATTCCACATGTGAACCACCCTCTGTGTAAAACAAAAATTGCCTCTCATGTCTTGTTTATAACTCTGTCCTCTCACCTTAAAAATGTGCCCCACAATCTTGAAATCTCCCGTCTTAGGGAAAAGATAACTACCATTAACTCTATCTCTACCTCTCATTATTTTATAAACTTCTATCAGGTTGCCTCTCAACCTCCTACATTCCAGTGAAAGAAATCGCAGCCTATCCAGCCTTTCTTTATAACTGAAACCTTCCATACCAGGGCAACATCCTGGTAAATCTCTTCTGAACCCTCACCAGTTTGATAATACCCTTTCTATAACTGGGTGACCAGAACTGGACACAATATTCCAGAAGAGGCTTCACCAATGTCTTGCACAGCCTCAACATGACCTCCCAACTCCAATACTCAAAAGACTGAGCAATGAAGGCAAGCATGCTGAATGCCTTTTTAACCACCCCGTCTATATGTGACGAACTTCAAAGAATTAAATACCTGTACCCCAGGTTCCTCTGTTCTACAATACTACCCAGGGCCCTACCATTAGTTGTATAAGCCCTACCCTTGTTTGTTGTACCACAATGCAATACCTCTCGTTTATCCAGATTGAACTCCATCTGCTATTTTTCAACCCATTGACCCATTTGATTAAGATCTCTCTCTAATCTTAGAAAACCTTCACTGTCTACTGTGCCACCAATTTTGATGTTGTCGACAAACTTACTAACCATACCTTCTATATTCTCATCCAAATCATTTAGATAAATGACAAACAAAAGAGGACCCGGAACCAATCCCTGTGGAACACCACTAGTCACAGGCCTCCAGTCTGAAAAGTAACCCTGCACCATTGCTCTCTGCCTCCTGCTGTTAAGCCAATTATGTATCCAACTGGCAAGCTCACTCTAAATCTCATGTGACCTAACTTTACTGATTAGTCTACCATGCGGAACCTTCTGAAACGCTTTTCTAAAATCCAAATAAACAGCATCTACTGTTCTGCCATCATCAGTCTTTATGGTAACTTCCTCAAAAAACTCAGTCAAGTTTGTGAGAAAAGATTTTCCTGGCATAAAACCATGCTGACTATCCCTAATCAATTTTTGCCTCTCTATATGTCCAATAATCCTATATTTTATAGTCACTTTCAACAATTTGCCCACAACTGAGTCAGATTCACAGGCCTATAGTTCCCTGGTTTCTCCTTACAACCTTTCTTATACAAAGGTACAACATTAGCCACTCTCCAGTCATCAAGCACTTCACCCGTAGTTAGAGATGATGCAAATATTGCTTCAAGGATTCTCTCAATTTCCTCCCTTTCTTTCCACAACATTCTGGGATTATATTAGATCAGGTCCCGGACATTTATCCACCTTTATATTCTCTAGGACCTCCCAAACTTCCTCTTCTGTAATGTGTACTGTTTCTAAAACATCAAAGTTTGTTTTTCTGCATTCTCTAGACTCTATTTCTTTCTCCACAGTAAAAACTGACACGACAAGTACATTTAGTATTTCTCCCATTTCCTGTGGTTCAACACAAAGATGACCTTGTCTCAAGTTACCCTCCTGCACTTAATGTTTTCGTAGAATCTCTTGATTATCCTTAACATTATCTGCCAATGCTATCTCATATCTCCTTTTTGTCTTCCTGATTTTTTTCTTATGAATGCCACTACACTGTATATTGATCAAGAGATTCAATTGAACCAAGTTGTCTGTGTCAAAAATAAGATTCTTTTTTTATTCATGACTAGAGCCTCAATATCTTTATTCATCCACTGTTCCTCAATCTTACCAGCCTTTCCCTTCACTCTAATAGGAACATAACACCTCCAAACTCTTGTCATCACACTCTTAAATGCCTCCCGCTTGTCAGATGTCCTTTTACTGGCAAATGGTCTACTTCAATCAACTTATGAAAGTTCTTGTCTCATACCATTAAAATTTGCCTTACTCCAATTAAAACCTTTAATTTTTATGGAAGGCTTATCCTTTTCCATAACCATTTTGAAACTAATAGAATTATGATCGCTACACCCAAAGTGTTCCCCACTTTTACTTCAGTCACCTGCCCTGCCTTATTGCCCAAAAGTAGATCTAGTTTTGCTCCTTCTCTAGTTGGAGCATCCACATATTGACAATTTTCTTGAACAAATTTGACAAATTCTTCACCATCCAAACCTTTAACACTATAGTAGACCCAGTCGATGTTTGGAAAATTAAAATCCTCCATTATTACAACGTTATTGTGCTTACATATATCTGAGATCTCCTTACATATTTGTTTCTCAATTTCCCTCTTAGTATTGGGGGGGACCTATAGTGCAATCCCATCAAAGTGATCTTTTCTTTCTTATTTCTAATCTCTACCCGTATATTTTCACTAGATGATACTTCAGAAATATCTTCTCTAGTTAACAACAGTAATGCATTCCTTAATCAATCACGCCAACACCCCCTGCTTTCTTGCCTCATTTCCTATCTTTTCTCTTGCATCTAAAATCCAGAACATCGAGCTGCCAGTCTTGTCCATCTCTCAGCCAAGTTTCTGTAATAACTATAATGTTCCAATCCCATGCTCTTAAATATGCCCTGAGTTCATCAGCCTTACCTGTAAGACCCCTTGCATTGAAATAAATGGAATTTAATTCTTCAGAGTTACTACATACTCTGACTCTCTCTTGTCTTTCTTTCCTAATTGACGTGCTGTCCTCACATTCAGAACCTTCCCCATTAATTCTT